GTTCAGCAGAGGGATTTGCCTGGATTAGTCTGGATGTGAAACAAACTGGACAGCTGCAGACCCTCTAGAGTTTGTAAAGCATCTGTCTGCTCCTGGCTCTGTGACTCAGTCTAAGGGTGGCAGAAGCAAGTTTATGATAAAATAAAGAAAGTTAAATAATTCACCTTCCAAACTCATACAAGAAAAATCGATTTTTCCTGTGCCTTGATAGAAGGGAGTTAACTGTCAAATAGGGGGAAAAATTTTTTTTTCAATTTTGAATCTCTAAAGTGGCCATTATTGCAAGTTCACTCTCTGAGATAAAAATTGTGCAATGTAGATATTTCTTTCTGTCCCCTCAGTATTAACACATTGCTGTATACATTATACATATATTTTCCACTTATTTTCACCAAGGAAAGGCACATATTTCTTTGCACTTGAGTCAATCAACTAAGCAATTAATTTAGAAAAAATATTTGCTGAAACACTTCAGCATTAAGGCTTGTAATGTGTACAAGTGAACACTCATTCCAAGCACTCTATTGAAAGATAACCTAGAAGAGGTAGAACAGAACATAAATAGAAAAGCTTATTTGAAGAAAGATGAAGCTAAAGATATTAAAACACTGTGACACATGAAAGAAGAGTACTTACGATGGTTTAAAAATGGGTTACTGTTGGTTAAAAGCACATTTTATTTGTAAATGCAAGATAATCTCATTAGTGCTGGGAGTACAGAAAGACCTATCACCTGCTTCCTACAACATTCATGATAACACAGTCCTTTTCAGACCCATCAGCAAAAACATGGCAAGACCACATAAGAGACATATGATTTTCAATGTGTTAATCTGTACTATTGTGATTTGCCATGAGGTCTGCCAGTGAGTGTCCCTTTCAATGCACATTTAGCACAAGCTTTATGAAAAGCATATTAACACACAGATAGTGAAAATTGCTGTAAATGTGCATTGAGATCAGTGTTGTACCTGATATTTAAAACTCAGAAAACCTTGAGGAAGCTGATCAGTCATATTTATTAGAATAAAAGCCAGCCTTTTGGTATGGCCTACTATCCACCCAATAGCCTAACTATTCTGAGCCTTTGCTGCATGTATTCAGTATTTGACTCTGAACATTTGTAGCTGAAAATGTTGATGCTGATGCTGTTCTAACCCTGTAAGACTGAATAATCTGCTGGCTTTTTTGGTTGGTAATTACTGGCAACATATACGACACTGCTCTTAATGATCAGGAAATCTTTTAGCCTTAGAAGACATAGTGCAAATACAAGCTGAGCACAACTTCAGCTGCAAAAAACTCTTAGAACTTTTGAGGATATTGTGATAAAACATGAAATTTAACTTCCAGTGCACCAGTAAGAATAGGATTTAGTTTCCTGTAGGATATGGCTTTCATATTGCCAATATATATTTAACTTTACATGACCAAGCACTCTGACTGATTTGTCAGATTTGTAAAGCTTATGTGTGCTTAGGTACATTGCTGTTTATCTCAAATGAAAAACTTCATGTTAATTTGTGTTAATTATGTTATGTTTATTTCATACAATTAAATAGCAATTTTGTTCTGTGCTTCCACATTTTTTAAGTCTTCTGTTCTTTCAGACTTCCAAATCCTTATGTGAAAAAAACCCCCAGAATGGTAGCAACATGTGGAAAATGAAGGTCTGGACCTAGGTTTTCCTTTATATGTGTGAAGCAGTAATAGTTTTACTTGGCTTAGAGTATAGGTGTGAAATTGCCACTTTGTGAACATCACCAAGACCTACACAGACCTGGTACTACCATTTGGTTCAATAACATAGAAAGATTGGCAAAGCTGGACCCTAAATAGTGCTGATGATAAAAATTTGCTTAAGGGAGCTTTCAGTCATGTGGTTTACTTTTTTCCTGTCTTCTCAGAGCATACATGACATAAATTAAATTCCTCATATGACCATTTAAAGTTACCTAGGTTCAACTAGAATCCCAGCTTCCTAGCAAGAAGTGGCATGTCTTTTCCCTGCTATGTACCACCTGACTTGTCTTTTGAGACAAAGAAAGATAATATGAAATAACTATAACCTATACAAGAAAGAAAGAAAGAAAGAAGGAAAGAAAGAAGGAAAGAAAGAAGGAAAGAAAGAAGGAAAGAAAGAAAGAAAGAAAGAAAGAAAGAAAGAAAGAAAGAAAGAAAGAAAGAAAGAAAGAAAGAAAGAAAGAAAGAAAGAAAGAAAGAAAGAAAGAAAGAAAGAAAGAAAGAAAGAAAGAAAGAAAGAAAGAAAGAAAGAAAGAAAGAAAGAAAGAAAGAAAGAAAGAAAGAAAGAAAGAAAGAAAGAAAAGAAAGAAAGAAAGAAAGAAAGGAAAGAAAGGAAAGAAAGAAAGAGCCAGTTTACAGAGGCAAGAAGCTGTAAGCCAAATTAAGCGACTCCCCTTCCTTAGCAAGAGCTATTAAAGTCCAGTAACGTCAAGTCCGCACCAGCAATTTTGCAGTCGATGCTGATTTTTTTAACCCCTTGTTTTCTGCAACTGTTTCCTGTGTTATTCACAGCCGAGGCAGCAGAGGGAGCTCAAAGATTCTGGTCATCAGCGAGATATCCAGAGAACCAGAGAGTCAGGGAGAGAGACTGGCAGTGCCAAGGGCAGTTATAGCGGCATGGAAAGACGTGGCTCGATGTATTCAGACTTGTTTAAATCTAGTAGATTATATGTATACTCCATTATCAGCTAGTAGTTTTAAACACAAGGTATCGCTTAGTGGCCAGGTTTTATTTTGCACTTGCTGCTTACTGTTCTGTTTACAGTTTGGAAAAAGAAGTCTTTATCAAGAATATAAAAGTCCTTTTTGAATGTAAAAAATTGTTCTAATGAGTCATTCTATGCATAAAGATTTATAACAGATATTAAGACATAGGTACCTGAATTTTAAGGACTACAGTAAATAAAATTGATAAAATAATGACAATTGGTGAAATACTGAACTGCAGTTCAGTAAAACATGTAGGAATTCAATCTGTAAAATAATGCAAGATGGCTTTCATTGTAATTTTAAGACAGAAAGATTTCATGATTTTTAGAAGTTCACCTTCAGTGTTGGGGAGAAGTAAAGCTAATAAAGCACACAACTGAAATTCCTGACATTTGTTCTTCCACAAAGAAAGATTTGAGACTCTGTAAGGTCAATAGTTGTTGACAATAGGCAGGAGTCTGTTTTGGACTGTATCAGTGCATACATGATAAACAGCATACAAGCATCATGAACATCAAAGTTGTGCTTAAGTTTTTGAATATAACCAGGACAATGAAAAACCTTGTGGTTCTGAACAGGTGTGGTATATGCTATAACATACTACCTGGAACTATTTGTTGCACATCAGGTCATTGTCTATTTTACTGTTTTAATTTGCTTTAAAGGCAACACAGAACAGAATGTAATTTCACTATAAACCAGAAGTATTGTACTAACTTACTAAGTTGCACTGAAAGTAAATATTTATAATTCTCTGGTTTGGGAAAGAAAATATACTTGAGATGTGAAATCAGCCATCCTATTCCCAAATTCAGGGCAATTTTTGTAATTGGTAACAAAACAACAAAAAACTATTTTCTAAATATCCTTTTTATAGTGATCTAGTGGTTGGATCTTTGCACTTTACTGACCCTGTGATCAGTCTCCTGCTTTGGGCCAGATTCATCCATCCAGACACCAGAAAGTAGCTGTGGAACACTATTCTAATCATGTGGGTATTGCTTAATCCTCAGATTGAACCTGAATAAATCTCTTTGGATGCCATGTCAATCTGTTTGGGATTGGCAATCTGGAAAGGCCCCTAGATACACATTAAAGTATTTTTCTAACTGAAAAAAATCATATACCTCTAGGTAACATTGACTACTATGTTCCAAGGTAGGTAAAGATCAGGCAGTTGTTGATATCACTTTGGAGATATGGGGCATAAATATTTGACTTTTTGAATTTATCTTCTTGATTTTTGAACTATAGGTCCTTGGTTACATTATTATTATTATTCTATTTTTTTTTTATTATATCCATTATTTTTAGTCTGTATTCTGTCATTCCAAGTGCATCTCCTGGCCCATGAAATTGTTGGGATTTTTGAGTATTTAATATATTAGATCTTACAAATTCCCACAGTTGTTCTGTCAACTCTCTGTATTTTAACCCTCTCTGTCCTTAAATTGCTGTGTAATTGTTTTCAAAGAGGTATTTTTGCCTTTCATTAAAAAATGTGAAGCACTTGTATAGAGAAAGAATGTCTATATCTCCTCTCTTACTAAATTTTAATGATTAAATCTGTGCTCCAAGTTATTAGCATATGTTTCACCTATTAAATGAGATTATCCTAGGGTTTTTTTCTCAGTTCACAGTTCAATATCTAGTTTTACTGCCTGTGGACTTTGACCTCTTTTTCTCCTTATTTGCTTGAAATCTCCAGTATTTTTTTACTCTATCATCTGCCTGTGTTTAGTAGAGAAATCATAAGTGTATGTCCAAAAGCATTCAATCTACTTATATTTACACCAAATTCTATATACCAGTTCACAGTTTTAGTGATTCTGTTATCTCTGTACTGTGGAGCAAAGACTTTGTAAATAAAGTATACATCTCTATATGCACTGTATATAATGAAATAATAAAATAGTAGTGACAAAGCAACATAATGAATTGGGATTTTTGAGGTGAGAAAGGTGGAACACTATAGAAAGTAATATCTACCTAATAATTTTTTCATTCCAACTGTCAAATAAAACTTACAGAGAAATGAAAAGACCCCAACTCTTGGCTTTACTTTTACCTGAGTGTGATGGTATAATGATGGATTTTTTATGTTAGAAAAAAATCAGTTGCCAAATTAGATGTTCTCACTTTCTGTTCTCAGAAGTGGATTTCCTTCTTTGTTTAGTTCCAGCTGAAGAGAAGCCCTAGTTAGCTTTAGAGCTCATGGAACATACTTAGCTTGAACTTTAAACATTTCTTAAGTTAAAATATCTTACCATGGTTGTCTCTGCAATGGATCCAAAGCTGTTTATAAATATGTTGCATGTGACATTAACTGGAGGACCTGCAAAAGAGAAAAAAACACCAGTCCCTGTTCCAGAATTATTGCTTATTGTGTGGCTGTACAATATAAATCATTATGAAACAATGTTTACTGACATAGGAAGAAATAATGCTACATTCATGACTTACTTAATGCACAATTAAACTGAATAGTTTCTAATAATTTTCCTTTTGGTTTGTCTCAGAGGTACACTACTTGACTGGCCTGTTTTAGCAATAAGAAAAACCAAGGAGAAAGTATGTTATAAACTTGCACATGTGGTTCTATGCAAAAAAAAAACCCAAACAAAACCAAAACCAAAAAGGCAATATCCCATTTGAAATATATAGTAAAAAATATTTTTATATGTGTTTCAGTGAGCATGCATAGCACTTCTCACACCAATTATGGGGAAAAGTGTCCTTTGCTCAAGGCAGCTGCTACCTTTAATGTTATCTGTCATCACTGATGACAGTGTACAAAGTATATTATTGCCTCTTTTATCTCTACTGTTTACAGGAAAATTATTTAGATTCTATTCCCATTTCTCTTAGGTTCACAAAATGGTTAAGAGTTCACTTTAATTGAATTCTCTGTTACCATGGGTCTTCAGTCAATTGTTGTTCTGTCTTATCTTGCATTTTGAAGTATCAGCAGTGGCAGAGCAGTCATTATGATAACTGAACAATGAATCACCTCTTCACAAAAAAGAGTTTAAATTATTTGTC